AGGTATTGAAAACAGTCCTACTAATAAAGACTAGAGTTGGAGTAATTTATTCTAGAAAAAAAGGCAATTCTTGTTGTAGAGAGAGGCAGCCCTCACAGAGCCATTTTCTTTTGCATATTAAGAGGGCATTACATTGACTAATAGCAATTTCTTATCAATGTCTAAGAAACAAATCTTCTTATTTATCTAATCCTTGGACAAAGGACTGAGAAAGGCTTCTTCTGACTGAAAATAATATGTGAAGAAACATTGTTACGGTGGAAAATGAGACTGCAAGGAAATCTCAAACAATTCCTAATTTAGAGAGTCATTAATTAAGACCTGAGGGAAGAAGGAAGGGGTTGTTCTTTTTGAGTAAAGAGAGTGTGATTTACAAGACAGCCTGAGGAAAGCAGGGATGAGTGGGTTGGTGGTGAAAGTAGGCCTTGGGTGGGCAAGACTGCTGCTATGGCTCCTCTTTCTAGCTTTCTGCATCTTAATCTCAGATGACACATGAGCCACCCTATATTTGGGGCCATAAAGCATTTAGTAGATAGGAGGTCATTTCTCAGAGAAGGTGACAAGGGCAGCAGGCAGCAATGTGTATCAGCTGTTCTACCAAAACACTGATGCAAGTACAGTACCATGCTAAGGATAAATGAAATTGATATATTAATATTTCTTAGGAACATTTTGTACTCAGGTCCCACTAACTGTCTTCTGTTTAGTAAATGCTAATGTAATAAGACCTAAGACTTTATGATTTAGCTTGTTTATTTGTTTCCCACAATAAGACAGTGAGAATAGGTAATAATAACAATATATATTATAGTTCCATTTTACGGATTAAAAAAAAAACCCTGAGACACACTCAAGAGAATTAAGCAAAGAAAAACTAGGAATGGAAACTAACCTCAGAGATTCTCATGTTATATTTAGTACCACTCTCTCTTCTGAGAAAAGCATGGGAACAAAATGAAGAAGGAAAATACTAATAAAATGTTTAGTACAGTTGTCTTTTGTGGAAGAGAATAGAGAAGTATGAAATTGGTGTGACTCAATAAAAAATGACTATTAAATGCTAGTAGAGAAGCATTTAATATCAAAGCCAGGCAAGGACACAACCAAAAAAAACTATAGACCAAAATCCCTGGTGAACATAAATACAAAAATTCTCAACAAAATATTAATAAAGTGAATCCAGCAGTACATCTAAAAGATAATACACCACAATCAAGTGGGTTTTATTCCAGGGATGCAAGGATGGTTCAGCATATGCAACTCAACACATGTGATTTGCCACATAAACAATTAAAAACAAAAACCATATGATCATATCAATAGATGCAGAAAAAGCATTTGATAAAATTTAGCATCGTTTTATGATAAAAATGATGAATAAACTAGGCATAGGAAAAATATATTTCAAAATTATAAAAGCCATATGACAAGCCCACAGTCAATATCATACTGAACAGGGGAAAGCTGAAAGCCTTTCCTCTAATAGAACTGCAACAATACAAGGATGCTCAGTCTCCCCACTCCTATTCAACATACTACTGGAAGTCCTACCTAGAGTAATCAAGCAACAGGAAGAACTATAAGGTATCCAAATTGGAAAACAGGAAGTCAAAGTATCCTTATTTACAGATGATATGATTTTATACATAGGAAACCTTAAACCATTTAGGAGACTCCTATATTTGATAAATGACTTCAGTCAAGTGTCAGAATACAAAATCAACATACAAAAAATAGTATCATTTCTAATATTAATAATGATCAAGCTGAGAACCAAATAAAGAACTCAATCTCATTTACAATAACTACAAAAATAAAATAAAATGCCTAGGAATACATTTAATCAAGGATATGAAAGGTATCTACATGGAGAACTGCAAAACATTGGTTAAATAAATCATAGCTGGTATAAATAAAAGGAAGAACAACTCATGCTCAAAGATCAGAAGAATCAATATCATTAAAATGTCCATACTGTCCAAAGTAATATATAGATTCAATGCAATTTCTATCAAATTACCAATAATATTCTTTAAAAATTTAGAAAAAAAATTCTAAAATTTTTATGGAACAACCACAGAAAAAGAGAGTGAATAACCAAAGCAACCTGAGGCAAAAATACTAAAGCTGAAGGTATCATATTACCTGTATTAAAATTAAGCTTTAAGGCTATAGCAACTGAAACAGCATGGTACTGGTACAAAAATACACATATATCAATGGAATGGAATAGAGAACACAGAAACAAAGTCATATACCTACAATCAACTGATCTTTGACAAAGCTGACAACAATATACACTGGAGAAAGGACACCCGATTCAATAAAGGGTGCTGAGAAAATTGAATAGCCAGAAGCAGAAGACAAAAACCAGATGCCTATATCTCACCATATAAAGAAAATTAACTCCAGAGGGATCAAAGACTTAAAGGTAAGACCTGAAACTATTCAAATCATGAAAGAAAACTTGGAAAAAACTCTTCTAGACATTGTCCGAGGCAAAGGATTTATGACTAAATCCTCAAAAGAAAATGTAAACAAAATCAAAAATAGACAAATGGGACTTAATTAAACTTAACTGCTTCTGCATAGCAAAAGAAATAATAGAGTAAATAGACAACCTATGGAATGAAGGAAAACATTTGCAAACAATGCTTCTGACAAAAGGTTAATATCCAGAATCTACAAGGATTGCAAATAACTCAATAAAAAACAATCGTACTAAGAAGTGGGCAATGGAGATGACTGGATATTTTTCAATAGGAGACACACAAGTGACCAATAAACATATGAAAAAATGCTCAACTTCACTAAATATCAGAGAAATGCAAATTAAAACCACAATGAGATACCATCATACACCAGTCAGAATGGGTGTTATCAAAAAGCCAAAAACAACAGATGCAGAGAAAAGGGCACACATACATTGTCAGTGGGAATGTAGATTACTACAACCTCTGTGGAAAACAGTATAAAGATTTCTCAAACAACTAAAATTAGAACTACCCTTTGATCCAGGAATCCCACTAATGAGTACTGAAATAAAAGTTGTTTCATCAAAAAGACATTTGCACTTCTATGTTTACAGCAGCACTATTTACAAAAGCAGAATTATGGAATCAATCTAAGAGTCCATCTTAAAGAATGTGGTATGTACCATGGAATACTACTCAACGATATAAAAGAATGAAATCATGTTTTTTCCCCAACGTTGATAGAACTGGAGGCCTTTATCCTAAGTAAAATGAATTTTAAAAAAAGAAACTGCATGTTCTCACTTATAAGTGGAAGCTTAACAATGTGTACAAGCTGGGCTCTGGCTCAGTCTGGGCTTTGGGAGGCTGAGGTGAGTGGATTGCCTGAGCCAGTGGGTTTGAGACCTGCCTGGGCAACTTGGCGAGACCTCATCTCTACAATAAATCAAAAAATTAGCTGGGCATGGTAGCGTGCACCTGTAGTTCCAGCTACTTGGAAGGCCGAGGCGGAAGGATCGCTGGAGCCCAGCAGGTTGAGGCTGCAGTGGCCGGGAGCGGCCACTGCACTCCAGTCTGGGCGACAGAGTGAGACTCTAATCCTCCCCCCCACAAAAAAAGCAATGTGTACATATGGACAGATAGAGTGGAATAACAGACACTGGAGTCTCCAAAAGATGTGAGAGTAGAAGGGGGTGAAGGATAAAATATTACCTGTTGGGTACAGTGTACACTGCTCTGTGATGGGTACAGTAGAGGTCCAGACTTCACCACCATGCAATATATCCATGTATCACAACTGCACCTGTACCCCTGAATCTATAAAAATTAAAATCAGTTAAAAAATAGGTAAATAAAAATAAAAGTAAAAAAAATGCTGGTTGGATTATAATAGATCTTCTAGTCTAACTTCCTTCATTTGTAAATGAGGAAACAGAATGAGAAAGCTTACATAAATTTTTCAGTGTCATCTGACTAGTTATTTTCAGAATGATAATTGACAAAATGAATTGACTAGATTTTAAGTCTCTGACTGGAAGATACTGTATCCTCTATGCTCAATTCGTGCTGATATATATATATATAACTTGAATCTAATAAAAATTGTAGATCTAATTAATTACCAGGAAATACAAGGGTAGAGAAATATACTAGCATGTATGGAGATGTAATCAACAAAATCCAGTTTGCAGGAAAAATCTACAGAGCAAATCTTATTGATTATAAAAGACATAACAGACATTAACAATTACAATATGTAAATCTAACCGGGCTCAGTGGCTCAGCCTGTAATCCCGCGCCTTTGGGAGGCTGAGGTAAGTGGATTGCCTGAGCCCGCGGGTTCGAGACCTGCGTGGGCAGGCGAGACCTCATCTCTACCATAAAATCAAAAAATTAGCCGGGTGTGGTAGCGTGCGCCTGTAATTCCGGCTACTCGGAAGGCTGAGGCAGAAGGATCACCAGAGCCCAGCAGGTCGAGGCTGCGGTGGCCAGGAGTGGCCCCTGCACTCCAGTCTGGGCAACAGAGTGAGACTCCAACTCAAAAAAACCAAAAAAAACAAAAAAACTATATACAATATGTAAATCTTCCTTGCACCCTCAGGAGCGTAGAACAAAGTATAAAAAGTTTATCAAAGAATGAGGAAAATTTCAACAGTGACTAGCTATTTGATGGCACTAATAAATTGTTGTAAAAATATTTTAAGTGTGATCATATTTTTCTTGTCATTTGTAAAATTTCTTGCCTTTGTAAAATTTCTTATCTTTAAAACTATACTTAAATATTTTCAGATTAAAATATATGAAATCTGTGATTTGCTTCAAAATAATTAGGGGTAGTGAGATAAATGAGCAGACATAAAGAAAAAATGAGATTGGCTATGAGTTGACAATTTTTAAAATTCAGTTAATGGGTACGTGGGGATTTGTTGTGCTATTCTTTATATGCCTTTGAGTTTTTCCATTAAAAAAGTATTACTATATATTAAATAAAATTTAAATCTAAAATTATTTTCTCCTTTTTAATAGAAATGGCAAGAAAGAAGCTGAAAAAGTTTACTACTTTGGAGATTATTCTCAGCGTTCTTCTGCTTGTGTTGTTTATCATTGCTGTTACTCTAATTGTGCTGTTAGCCAAAGAGTCTACAAAATCAACAGGTAACAAGTAGTTCTGGGGCTCTCCTGCCATATATTGCTCTTATCAGTGCAAAGCCCTCATCAATGGTAGGGAACTAATGCTTTCATGTTCATTGGGGTATGTGTATGTGTGTGTGGGTGTTATGTGTGTATGTGCTCTATGTTTTTTGGAACAGCTCAATAGGTATTCAGTGTAAGTTTAAGTTCTGACACTTTCCTTTGTCAATTTGATTAGTATACTGTAGGATTTCACTAGCAACACTTTAAATATATTTGCCAAATGTCATTAAATAATTCTAATTCTGTTAAGAATGATAGTTAACAATAAGCTCACAAGAAAGGCAATTAAATATGTGTACAAGGGACCTTTAAAAGTTTGTGAAGAAAATGAATTAAAATTATGAACTTTTCTCTATGCAAGGTCCGTTAAGCTCAAGACACTTTTATAAGCAACAATACCAGCCATTTACTCCATCCCTAAATAACTGAGTGTCATGGGAATTTAAGCCTATCATTACATTATTGACTGAGTAAAACTGAGAGTCCTTTACAGATTTCTTTGCACTTAGCAAACAAAAAGAATCCAGAAGAAGCCAAATCAGGACTGTAAGTTGGATACCTAATAATTTCCTTTAGAAACTCTTACAAAATTGCCCTTATTTGATGAAAGGATAAACAGGAACATTGTTCTGGTAGAAAACGACTCTTTGGTGAAGCTTTCCTGGGCATTTTTCTATTAAAGCTTTGGCTATCTTTCTCAAAACACTCTCATAATAATTAGATGTTGTCATTTTTTTGCCCTTTAGAAAGTCAACAAACAAAAAGCCTTGAGCATTCCCTCAAAAAACTGTTGCCATGACCTTTGCTCTTGATTTGTCTGCTTTTACTTTGACTAGACCACTTCCAGGCTACTGTTTTGTTTGTGCTTTGTGTTCAGGATTTTACTGGTAAAGCTGTTTCATCTCCTATTAAAATTATTTGAAAAAATGCTTTAGGATCTTGATCACATTTAAAATTTCTACTGAAAGTTTTACTCTTATTTGCAGCTGATCTGGGTGCAATGATTTTGGCACCCCTTGAATGGAAAGTTTGTTCAACTTTAGTTGTTCAGTCAGAATTGTATATGCTGGACTAATTGAGATGTCTGTGGTGTTGGCTATTGTTTCTGTTGTTAATCATTGGTCCTCTTCAATTACGGCACAAACAAGATGAATTTTTTCCTGACAAATTGTTGTGGATGTTTCATCTCTTTCTAAAATGAGTTACTAGCTACTAATTTCCTTGAGATATTGTTCCTATAAACTATGTTGCGTTAATGATTTTGCCATTCTTCCATCCAAGCTTCACCATAAACTTGATGTTTGTTCCTGATTCAATTTTAGCAGAATTCATGTTGCTCTGATAGGTGCTCTTTTCAAACTAATGTCCTATCCTTCTTAATGCCTTATGCTAGACCTTGTTCATAAGTGTTATAAGGTAGTATGAATTTAATTTTTAAAATTTTTGAAATTTATACACAGTCTTTTTCATAATACATTTTCCATGAACCTTTTGAAAACCTCTCATATAACCAAAGCATTTTAGACCAAAGTTTGGTTCTTAAAAAAAAAAAATCTACTGGAGTTATTTTATTAAATGTTTGTTGAACTGTTTCATCCTACAACAGAGACTGGATTGTGCTGAGTTATCCATAATTAAAAATCAGATTCATCTAGAAGCAACTTTTTAGGTGATCCAGGCAGTCAAGGGTCAGCCTACGTGTGGCTTCTTCACTCCCCAATTGCCCTCCATTTCCAGCCACAACAAGGGTTTTTTGGAAAGTTAGATTAAATAATCCCAAAGCTTGTTCAATTCTTAAAATTCTGTGATCCTGAAGATGAAACTAAAACCTTTATGCAAAAACTGATACAGTGATAAAGTGTATTTAATCTACCACTTTTGAATGAAATCTCCAATAAAAAGAATACCAGTAAAAAACCTAATTGTTGGCTGGGTTCAGTGGTTCAACCTGTAATTCCATGACTTTGGGAGGCCAAAGTGAGTGGATTGCCTGAGCCCACGGTTTCAAGACCAACCCGGGCAACTTGATGAGTCCTCCTCTCTACAATAAATCAAAAATTAGCTGGGCATGGTAGCGTGTGCCTGTAGTTCCAGCTATTTAGAAGACTGAAGTGGAAGGATCGCCAGAGCCTAGCAGTTCGACACTGGGGTGGCTGTGAGCATGCCACTGCAATCCAGTCTGGGCGATGGAGTGAGACTCCAACTCAAAAAAACCCCAAACAAACCTAATTGTTTTGTCTTAATGTCATTATTTTTATTGTAGTGTACCTTAAAGAAAGGTCACTTCTTTTAGAATGTAATAAAAGTGTCCTTTCTATTTTACTGATTTTAAAATCTGAAGCCAAAGTTTTCTAACCCTTGGGTAGGTCCTAGCTGCCAGTGTCTAGCTACATGGGCTTTCTTTACGTTTTTTGTCATATGGGACTTTATATTTACAAAAGGATGCCATCACTCAAAAGTGTTCTTTGTCTAGGGATTTGGCTATTGACTAAGCAAAGTTAAATTTACTGTTATTAGGATGGCATTTGTACTGCACATGTCCTGTGTGCTCCAGGTGCAGGGGGTGGAAGTGAGGGACCAGAGTAGACGTCTGCTGACTTTATTGTAAAGGATCATATAGTAAATATTTTCGATTTTGTGAGCTGTATGTTCTCTGTCATAGCTACTTAATTCCGCCATTCTAGCACCAAAGCAGCTGAAAACAAATGAGTATGGCTTTGTTCCAGAAATACTGTATTTTAAAAGACAGGCTTTGACCTAATTTGGCCTAAAAGCTATCATTTTCTGACCTTTAGATTAAAGAAAGTTTGGTTCCTACCTTCATGAGCTTCTAATCTAATGGTGTGGTTCTTGCTCTTGTATATGCTATCTTGTAGGGGTGGAACATGAGGGTAGAAGGCAATGATAGGTATGCATGGAGGTAAATACAGTCAGCAAGATCAAAGCGAGGTTTTATCAAGTGAGTGCCTACATTTTGAGGCCGTCAGAGTCAAGCCCAATCAGTAGTGGAATTAATATAATTGGAGGTGTTGAGAACCAGTGAATGACATATTAAATCTCTCTGACATTAAATCTTTCTGATGGTCACCTTGTGTTTGTTTTTGGTATAGACCTGGATCCTGGGACCACTGGTACCCCAGATTCTGGAACAACTGGTACCACAGATCCCACGACAACTGGTACCGTAGCTCCTGGAACAGCAAGTACCACCTCTGATCCTGCTGCATGCCCAGCGGTAAATGAAGCAGAACGAATAAATTGCATCCCTGACCAGTCACCAACAAAGGTTTGAGTTATGGATCTTTTTTTCCATTAAAGAGTTTATGTGATTGGATAGTTTTTTGTTTGATGGTTTGTTTTTATTTTCTGGTAGTAGCTCTCAGAGAGTTGTCTGTGTTGCAACCACTATGCTTTGGGCAAATTTATCTTATCTCCATGCCTGTATGACAGTGCCACTTCAGGAGAGAAAGAGCTGGAAAATTCCTTTGGGTTGCCAGATTCAGCAAATAAAATTACAGGTTGCACAGTTAAACCTGAATTTCATATTTTTTAAAATATAAGTGTGTCCCATGCAAGATTTGGGCTTCCTGACTAAAAATGTGTTTGTCTTTTATCTGGTTACATGATTACTAGTCCTCTCTAACTCTGTCACTCCTCTGTTTTGTCTTCTGTCTGTCTTTCTCCATTCAGAATTCCCAAAGGTTGTCCAGAATCTAAAGTAATAATTCATATACATTCACCAACCATTATTTAAAATAGGGACAGATTTCAAGAGCTATGTGTTAGAAGGAAGATGGTAACTAATATCAGTTAAAAGATAGGGCAGGCATAATACCAAATTAAAGACAGCACAGTCATCTGGGCAGTTGCTTTAGGCCAGTGTTTCTTAGTCATTGGGTAAAGTCCAGCTGATTATTAATGATCATAAAGTGCATTGCACACACCATATCAGTCACTTTTACTCTGAGAATGAAAATGGTATCCAAATGAAAGCAGAATGGAGCCTTTGAGTGAAGTCCACTAACATGAAATGGCAGGTTTGCATCAGCTACAGAGCAGAAGCTTGCTGCATATAGTGCTTGGACACGTGGCACCACCATGTTAATCTCTGCAACTATTCTACTCTCAGTGGGCTGCAGTAATTTGTGATGTTCTAGAGAGTTGCTGTTTTGATTTGTCAAAGATCCTATATACCAAAAGATGTTTTTTCTTCCTTATTAGATGATAAGTTTGCCCTAGTGAATTATCTTCTTAGGGGAATGGGATGAGATGGAGGTAATCATGAAGACAGAAGAAAGAGACATCAGAATTTACATCTTGGTTATCTCAGGCAGAGGTTAATGGGAAAAGACAGAAAAATAAATGAAGAATATCGTCTTAGCTGGAAAGTGTGATGCCTTCAAATATCCAGATGTTTGGTGTTTTGCAGTCCAAATTTTGAAAACTAATTTAATTTACCCCCTTTTTAAAAGCAGCTTATTGTTGGGTAAGTCATGTAGGTAGGCATGTGCTTGGGGTGTGTTGCTGGAATGACCCAGAGTCCAGTGTGACCAGAATAATGTAAGAGAAGAGGGGAATAGGAGTAGATGAGGTCATGAAGGAAGTGGCATGGAAGGGGAATTGTATGTGCAGATCTTGTGTGAGTAATTATAACAAACTTGATTAACCACTTTAACCACTAATAGCTCCTGATTGATTATAAGTACAATTAGAAGTTCAGAAATGGGAGAGACAACTGTGAGCCAGGGAAGAAACTATCTTGGTGCTGAGATATGAAATTTATTTGGGCCCCAAGGAGCAGGTAAAAGGGAATGTGAAAACAAACCTGGATGGAAGGGTTATGTGGTGGTGTGCTGGTTTCCTAGTGCTGTAATAATAAAATATTACAACTGAATGCCATTAAAAAATAGAAATTTATTCTCTTAGAGTTCTGGAAGCTTGAAGTCCAAAATCCTCATGTTGACAGGGCTAGTTGCTTTTGAAAGGTCTGAGGAAGAATGTTTCAAGTCCCTGGCCTGACTTCTGGCAACAGCCAGAAATCCTTGGTGTTCTTTGACTTGTAGGTTAATCATTCCAATTTCTGCCTCCCTCTTCACCTGGTGATCTTTGTGTTTGCATCCAAATGTCCCCATTTTATAAGGACACCAGTCATATTGGATTGCAAACCCACTCTACTCCAGTATGACCTTATCTTAACTGATTTCATTCATAATAACCCTATTTCCAAATAAGGTCATATTTTGAGGCACCAGGAATTAGAAATTCAACATATTTTTCTGGGGACACTATTTAACACACAGCATGGAGAAAGTCACAGAAATGGGAAGTGTGGAAAGTGTGAATTGTAACAACTTGGGTCTTTGGTATTGATTGAAGTGACATAGATGCTGAATCAGAAAGAACTAAGGTATTAAAAAAAGACAGATGAGAGACCATCTATAGGATGTGATAAACCGGGGGTGTGGGGAAGCTGGAAGATGAAGCAGAGAAGGGAGCCAGAGTCAGATATGTAGCTTTGAATAGAGGAAATGCCTAGGAGCTGAAGATTAGAAAAGAGGGATGACTCAAAACTAGTCAGGAAGTCCAGAGACTGTGTTAATAATGGCAAGAGAGAGGCCCAATCTGGTAGATAGTCAAGAATCAGGAAATCCCCAGGGTGTGATAAAGCACCAGAAGATCTCCAGGACATGACGAAGCATTACCCTCATCAGCCATTGTAGTACAGAGGGGCAGCAGTCTGGGCAGCAAGCCTGCTAAGATCTGCTAAGGAGTAAAGGAATCCGAGAATCAGACCAGCTTACATTACCAAGACTACTGAATTATTCAGTCTTCTTTATCTGATATCTTACCCTGACTGAAATTAACATGACTTCTTTTGGGGTTAGTGAAGAGTTTTACCTGCTTGGAGTAGGAGGAAGGAGGCTGAAGAGAGTTGGCTGATTGTGATTTTGGAATACTTTGGAAGTCAGAGGACTTGGTTTTGATATGTTACACAGCAGCTAGGAACATCCAAACATCTGTTTGAGGCTGAAGGAAGTCATGTAATAGGAGAAAAAACAAAGGAAAGAATAAAAGACTTAGAAATAAAGGTAAAAGAATATAGAAGGGAGAAATTTTTTAAAACAACTTTTAGAGCCAGACTCGGTAGCTCAACCTGTAATCCCGCACCTTTGGGAGGCTGAGGTGAGTGGATTGCCTGAGCCCACGGGTTCGAGACCCGCCTGGGCAGTGGGACCTCATCTCTACAATAAATAAAAAAATCAGCCAGGCATGTAGCGCATGCCTGTAATTTCGGCCATTTGGAAGGCTGAGGTGGAAGGATCGCCGGAGCCCAGCAGGTCGAGGCTGCGGTGGCTGGGAGTGGCCACTGCACTCCAGTCTGGGCAACAGAGTGAGACTCCAACTAAAAACAAAAACAAAAACTTTTAGAATGGGGCCAAATATCGCAAAATTTAGCATTTGGGTGATAGTTTCAGTTAAATTGATTATTTTTTTGTTGTAGAGTCCAGTAGGGGAGATAAGCTAAGTAAATAAATAAACAGACTTTAAAACAAAAATATACAAGATGCAAAGGAAATACTCTGGCTATCACAAAATAGAAGAAATTATTAACAGGGAGAAAGTACAGCCTAATTGAATATAAATAGCATTTTTACAAATAGAGATGAAAGGGAAGGAGAGTGAATTCAAGATAAAAGTAAGAATGTAAACAAAGTTACAGATGGGAAAATTGTGAGGCACTTATATGACATATTGAATGATCCCAAATGGCCAAGATGTAGAGTGAGTTCCAGAGAGAAGACTGTGTTTGAGGTTGTAAGTTGGCACTTGATAGTACATGACTGTTAATATGCTGCTTTGTCAATAGGAAGAGGAAGTTGTGGTCTTGATATGTTGTACCTACCCAGGATGTTGGGTGCAACAGGTTTGCAGAAAGTTGATGTACACCCAATTATTTGCCCTGTCATAGTGTGCTTGTTACTCAATAACTTAATGGAGCTATACTTAGCTGGCTAGTCACTCAGAAGCTCACCTAGAAGGTTATCACATCCTAAGTATGTCACTCTCCTGCAATACCCCAACTCGTTATTGGATATTGGTGAACTTCAGATATCATTACTTCCACAGTAATGTTTCTTTGGTGTTTTATTACAAGACCTATCAATAAATACTATGGTATCAAGATTTCAGTTGAATAAACGACCTTTGGCATTTTCTAATATGCCCAGTTGAATTACTCCATGACCTTGGCATTCAATGATCAGCATTCTCCTCTTTTGCTCAGCCAGAGAGAAACAGTGGCACTTTCAGTGAACTATTTTCTCATAGAACATGTATCTTAGAAATTTTGTTGCATGTTGTGTGGATCTTGAGTGCCATATGCTAATCCAGACTGTTGTTGAGAGGCTGAGGCTATGGATAATTGATATATTTATCAATATATCATATCATTATATATATATATATATATATATATATATATATATATAAAGGTATGTAGCTGGAGGAGGAGGGTGGGAAGAAATTATGAACACAACAGACAGGCTGGGCAAAATGCTCTAGTGTTGAGGTCATTGCTGTACCATTTTATCATTCCTATATTCTTTCCCCTAGGATTACATATAAAAGAACCAACAGTACAAATTTATCTGAAGATGAGTCTTACTTGTAGGTACCATTGTTTCTTGCTCTCAGTTATGAGAGAGAATCTTGTGTCTAGGTCAGGAGAAAGTAAACTACCCTTAGTACCCCTGGGAGAGTCTTTTTCAGAGAGAGGAACTCCAGGAATCTTCTTTATGAATCTTAGCAGAAAAGATCACTCAGTCATCTAAATCTATTCTCTGTCTTTAGCTCTGGGTTTGCAATTGGTTAAGGACACCTTCACTGGATGCCTTCCTACCACATCAGCTGAACTCATTATCTCCTCACCAAGTCAGCTTTTCCTTCTCAGCTATGGCATTTCAGTTAGTATTTCTATTTTGCTTCTAGTTCCTGGGGCAGAATATGCAGAACTTTTGCTTAGTTTCTCCCTTCAGTCCCTTTGGCTAGTATTTCATGTATTTAAAAATATTTTCCTTTACAATATTCTCAAGAATAGGCATTTTATTTCCATTCTCACTGCCATCACTAGACCATTACTGTATACTTGGATTGCTCCAGTAGCCACCTAGCATCTCTTCTGAATTCCTTTTCTCCCATCCATTCCCTTCCAAGAGTGATTACAACTGTTTTTGTTTTTGTTTTTTTTTTACTTCCTACTTTTGTTATATTTCCACTCCGCTTCAG